CACCCTAAACCCTAAAACCCTAAACCCTACACCCTAAACCCCCAAACCCTACACCCTAAACCCTAAACCCTAAACCCTAAAACCTACACCCTAAACCCCTAAACCCCTAAATCCTACACCCCAAACCCTAAACCCCTAAACCCTACACCCCAAACCCTAAACCATAAACCCCAAACCCTAAACCCTAAATTAGGGTTTAAGGGCTGGGGCTCGGCAGGACGAGGACGTCGTTTGCAGCTTCGCCCTCGTCTCAGCGGATTCCGGGGAATCCCGCGGAAAGCGGCCCCCTTTAAGGGTTCCTTTAAGGGTTCCTTTAAGGGTTTTTAGGGTTTTAGGTTTTTCGGGTTTAGGGTTTTCGGGGTTTTAGGGTTTAGGGTTTAGGGCTTAGGTTTCCTTCAAAAGGTTCCTATGTACCTATATAGTAGAATGTAGGGTTTCCATAGTAGGAATTAGCGAGATATTTAGGGAAGTATCCCCCAAAACAATGCATAGCACCCTTTAGGACATGTCTTCACCCAAAGATAGTAGTGCAAAGGGCCCATGTTTTGGTATATTTCCAAAGACGTGGCAGGCAAAGGTCTTCACGGGTGGTTTAAGGATTCTGGGATCAGCATGGGGGATGGGGGTGCAGGCTTGCAGAGGATCATCTACGGCATTAAGTTCTACATCTTACCTGTAGTCTCCATTGCAGTTCGTTTTGGCGTTACCTATTGTAGCACCTTCACTTTAAAATTGGTCCAAAAGCAGGAGCTACGATGGAGATAAAGACCACCCACACAACCCTCTCTGTAGCCACCCTCTTCTTTGCGGGGCCCCTAAACAAGGGGAAACCCTGGTTTGCTGTACGCGTGTCGGTGCAGGGCTTTGGGGTTTAACCTGGGGTTTAGGGTTTTGGGGTTTAGGGTTACGGAAGTCCTTTGTCGTATTTCGAGTGCTTTCTGAGGAGGCGACCTAAAGTGGCTGGCCTCTTTCCAGCCCGTAACTCCCGTTGGTTGCGCACAGTAAGGATAAGGCTACCTTAAACAAACATCACCTACGATTCTAAAAACACTACCCTATTAAAGCCTGCTGGAACCCTCAACCCTAAACCCTAATCCCTAAACTCGGCACGCTAATCCCTAAACCCTAATCCCTAAACCCAACACCCTAAACCCTAATCCCTAAACCCTTATCCCTAAACCCTAAACCCTCTACCATCCTACAAAAACCTTAGAGAGGCCACGTTTCTACAGCCCAGAAGCCTGCGGCCTCATAGCCTTTACTTCTAGTCTTAATCTTTCTTGAGAGTTCCTTTGTACCGATATTGTTTAGGGTTTTAGGGTTTCGGGTTTTGGGTTTCGGGTTTTGGGTTTTGAGTTTAGGATTTTAGGTTTAGGGTTCAGGGTTTGGGGTTTTGGGTTTAGGGTTTCTGGTTTTGGGTTTAGGGTTTAGGATTTTGGGTTTAGGGTTTAGGGTTTGTGGTTTTGGGTAGTGGGTTTAGGGCTCCGACATTGCAGTTATTGCCGGGGGACTTAGTCAGCAAGAATATAAGTACCTCAATTGAGGTTAGAAACACTAGCATAGTAAAACTACAATATAGTATAATGTACTGGAAGATACAAAACAATATAATATAATAACATATTATAGTATAACATAATGTATTGTTATATAGTGCAAGGAAATGTCGTATAATATGACATACTATAGTCCGAAAGACGTTGTATAATGAATGTAGTAGAACATACGCTTGTTAATATCCATAGATTGCGGTGACCTCCCGGGGGAGCTCGGAAGTCACTTTTCGGGCCTCCAACATCTGAATTGGGTTTCCGGCTTCTTCTGGGTTTCGCAGGCTCCTTATGTTTTCAGGCGTGAACCCATACTGTAGGGGCCTAAATCATTACCAATACTATTTTGGGGGTTCCTTATTATGATTAGAGTATACTGGGCCCGCCCAGGCAAAACCCTATTCTAATTATTGCGGCCCCTACATTACATAATCCTCAAGCAGGAAAATCTTCAGCCATCCCAAATAGTAAGTTGAGTGCTCTCATGTTCTACATATGAAAACTGCGTGTGAACATCCTGCTGGCTCATAGACTCCTGCAGGTCATGCTAAGGATGCCCTTGCATGCCTAGAGGGTAGCTCCACGAAGCGGCCATGTTGTTGTTATGTTCTATCGCTTTCGGGGTTTCCGATAGAACCGTTTTTGCCCGGCCATGAAGCGCGTGGTCGTCACTGGTGGAAACTCGGGCATCGGCCTGGCTTTGTGCCTCTCGGCCCTTTTGGGGGACTGACCTCCGGTTTCGGGGGGGACTTGGGCTTCTTTGAAAGGAATAAAGAGGTGGACTCAGGGTTCCGTTCAAGGGTCCGTTTAAGGGGGGTTCGGGCGTCGGATTTTTTCGGAGGTTTTGGGGTTTAGGGTTTAGGATTTAGGATTTAGGGTTTAGGATTTCAGACTCAGGGTACTTAAGGCGCGTTTGCCCAAAAGTTTCGGTTGTCATGCCCAGGCTTTCGGTTCAGCACCCCGTCCCGAAATTCGAGTGGCCATGCCCCGGAACCCCCGCATCGGCAGGGTCGCACACATCTTCAACGATTGCGGTTTTTGGTGTAGGGATTATAGGGTTTAGGGGTTTCGGGTTCAGGATGTTGGGGAAAGACCATGAAAGGATGATGATTGTCATGATGCACTAGAAACTCTAACCGATCACAAGCACACGCTCCCTTCAAACCCTAAAACCCAAAAGCCTGCACCCCAAAAAACCCTACGCCCCAAATGGGCCTAAATCCTTTACCTTCAACCATACACCTTAGCAGGCAAGCAGCTGGCCCAAGAGGACGGATGTTATGCCGCTTGGCTCGAGCAGTCGGACTTGCCATGGGTTTGGGACTCACGACGTCGGGTTTTCGGGTTTAGGAGGCGTTTTTGAGTATCTATCATTCCTGTAAGCCCCTGTAAAGGGCTAGTAAAATTACCACGTTGTGCCGACCTGATCCTCCTCCGTACGAGTTCCTAAGCCCTACACCCTTAAAACCCTACGCAGTATAGATGTTCTTACAATGACGGGGTCTTGGGGTTAGGTAGCTGACTGATTCGTGCGGCCTAAACCCTAAACCCTAAACCCAAAGCCCTAAACCCAAAACCCTAAACCCCAAGCCCTAAACCCTACTGGGAGTTCGAGCTTCGAACACCAGGGTTTGGGCTTTGGGGCCGCCAGCCCCAAATCGCTTTAGGGTTTTGGGTTCAGGGTTTAGGGTTTACTGTAGGGTTCAGGGGGGGGTCTCTATTCAGGGCATCGAGGGGTCCTCAACTGGGAGTTTTCGAACATGGGCGACCCGAATGTCGAAGCTTAGGAGTACTATAGGGGCCTCTAAATCATTACCAATACTATTTTGGGGGGTTCGTTACAAAAGTTCCATAAAAAGATGCCCCGACACCCTATTCAGGCCATACATTAGCATCCTTGAGAGAAAGAATGCTGAGCAGAAATCCTAGAAGTAAATCGCAATCCGAACGCTACCTGGAGCCGGTTTAGGGGGCCCAGTCAACAGTTCAGGGCTTCGGAACGTTGAGGGGTCAAGACTACATGCTTAGTGCAACACTTAGAGTAGGCTTGTGGGGTCATGCCGCAGTATAAATCTGCAATGCAGCGACTTTGGGGATACTATTTATTGCCCGGAACCCTATACCCTAAACCCTAAACCCAAACCCTAAAGCTAAACCTTAAACCCAAGACCCTAAACCCTAAACCCTAAAGCTAAACCCTACACCCTAAGCCTTAAACCAAAACCCTAAACCGACTGATTCAGACCTCTCCTTTTTCTTTCGGGTGCCCGACGGCCAGAGTCATGCTATGCAAAAGTACACCACGGCAGTCTTGCTTTCCTAAAGGGTGGGTTCCTTTAAGGGTTCAGGGTTTAGGGCTTAGGTTTCCTTTAAGGGCTCCTATGTACCTCTATATTCTATATATATATATATATATAGTAGAATGTAGGGTTTGTGTTTTAAAAATTACTATGATGATTTAGGGAAGTAACCCCCATAACAGTACAGAAGACCCTTTGGTTTTAACGCAGGTCTACCTCGGATCCCGCAACGTCGAGAAGGGTGAGAAGGCGCAAGTCGGTTTAGGGTATCGGGAGTTTGGGAGTTGGGGCTTAGGGTTTAGGGTTTAGGGTTTAGGGCTTAGGGCTTAGGTTTAGGGTTTAGGGTTTAGGGTTTAGGGTTTCGGAAGTTTGGGAGTTGGGGCTTAGGATTTCAGGTTTCGGGTGTGCGGTTCTGTGTATCATAGGAGCCTACATAACTACCAATGATATTTTTTGGGGTTCCTTAGTATGATTATCGTATAATTGGCCCCTATATTGACGGTCTTGGGCAGTGGGTTTGAGACGGGTTCAGTATAGGGTTTTTGAGGCCAGGTTTCGAGTATCAGGTTCCGGGAGCCGAGTTCAGAAAGTACTTGTAGCCAGACATGTCTTTAGCACAAATTGAGATGGGAACGATAGCAAGGATGTCCAAATGCAGGTGTCCGTAGGGTTCGGCTTGAAATAACGAGGATCCCCCACACTCTGTTGCATGTCTAAGCCCAAAACCTTAAAGCATAATGTGCCACTGCAGGCTGTAATGTGCTGACCCCTCATAGTATACCCTTACATTTGAACACCCTAAACCCTAAAACCCTAAGTTCCCAAGACCTAAGGCCCAGAACTCTAGGGCCATGCGGCTATGTGGGAGTTTCAGATATTTGGGGACTAAAAAGAGGAAGCCATAAACTCCTGAACCCTAACCCCTAAGCCCTAAACCCTAAACCTTTCAACCCTTAGCCTAAACCCGTAAACCTTAAACTCATAAACAGGAGGATCCATACTACGGAACCTTTCTGCAAAAGCCTGGAACCCCACGAAGGCTTTCGATGCTTCAGTGAACAACATTTGTAAACAAAGCGCCTTAGCCTTAGAGAAAGATACACGAGACCTAGGTTTAGGATTTAGGATTTGGGGTGTAGGGTTCCTAGACAAAGCCTCAGAGATAGATACAGGAGACCTAGGTTTATGTTTTAGGCCTTTGGGTTTAGGGTTCAGGGGTTTAGGGTCTTTGGGTTCCTAGGATAGGAAGCTATGTAACACATCTAGAGTCCAGGACATTTTCAGGTGGGCAGTTACCGTTATAGGAGCCTTGTAGAAGGTCTACGTACCTTATAGAAGTCTTATAGATAGAAGCCCTACATACCCTAAACTCCCCACCTGTAGTTTCCCAA